CCCCCCCCGGCCCTCTTCCATACATCCTTGCATTTGAGATGTAACACCCTCTGAAGCAACACTGTGATACAAGGTTGATTTATTTCAGAATGGAATGTCTTTGGTGCATACCCTTACCCTATGACTGCAGAGTATGAAACCTCCACAGTTTCTGAGCCATGTCTAGAGCTGTCTCCAGTCCTCAAGTATTTGTGTTTTGATCTTTCAAAATCAAGTCCGTGGAATAAATTGTATTTTCCAAGTGAAGCTGCTTCTGTTTGTGCTGTGTTCCACTGGTAGCTTTGGACCATGCAGTGAACCATAAAGTCCTTCAGCAGAACACAACGGCTTCCGTATGAACAATGGTAAATTCTTCCCTTGTGCCGGCACCCACCCATGGCCCAATGGCACTCACTGAGCAGGGCAGGAACAAAAAGCTGGTTGCAGGGTAGAAACAGGCCTTCCCATGAAGTCTTGGGTGAATTCTGTGTGGTTACATTTTTAGACACTCAGCTACCATTGAGTTAGCAATTATTTGGAAATCTGCCGTGAAAGCTGATCTTGCACTAATTTACTGGTTTTGAAAACAAGAATTTTGGAGGGCTTTTGTTTGGGTTTTTTTTTTTTTTTTTGTCCTATCCTTATGAAGAGTATTCTGCAGTTTTTTTGTACACGTTTGTGCACAAATCCCAGGTCTTGAATTAGGTGCATAGGTTTAAGTGTAGTGTCCATGGCTGCAATGTAAATTTAATGGGTAACATCTAGTTCTTCAAATAAGAACACTGGATGATCTTCAAATACATAATGAAGAGTATAATAACCATTATTCAAGGCCTTTCCTTTATTCATACAAGGGCAGTAAAGGCAAGCCATTTTGAGGTACGCCAGAGAAGTATGGAGACTGATTTCTAACTAAAGAAAGATACACAGGAATGACTTGGGTTGCTGCTTCTGTGTCAATCAGGAATGAAAAGAATGAGGTAAAAACCAGAGAAATCAAAGAAATTCCTGAAAGCATTATAGACTTGATAATAGAAACCATATGCAGCGTAATGGGGGTTTCATGCATTAGTAGGAAATACTTTCAAGATTAAAAAAATATGCAGGGGGAAGAAGGGGGGAAACCTCATGCGGAATGGAAAGGACTTTAAAGTCTTCCTTACAGTATCTTGTATCTCACAGTTCTCTTCCCTAAACATGATGCCACCTAAGCTTCTTACTTCAAGATGGAGAAATGTGATTAATATAAAAATGTATCTATTGGTTATTTGGTATGACAATTCATAAGTTTAAGATAGAAATAGATTGATAGCAATGTGATTTCTCAAACATGAAAGATTCCTTACTTGCCAGAATCTGAAAAGAAATCCTTTGACTTTCGTCTGCACACCAATAAATGTAAAGAGATACTGATTTGTAACACATGTGGAATGGTCAGGTTTTGCCTGGGAGCAAGATGTGTAGTAATTCTCTCTTAAGTACAGTTAATGGAACTTAACTCTGAGGAAACAGTTTTATTAATAAAAACCTTGTGTCTTAGGATATAAATCATAATCTGATCTCTTTTGATGTGTTTGGTATTGTCTTCTGCAGAATAGGAATGAAGTAGTCTGTGTGGTTGCCTGACTTGGGTATATACTGCCAAGTACCCCACCAGTGTGATAGCACTGGGAAAGCCACATGCTTTTTAGTCACATGTTGCATAGTTTAGATTTTAGCCTGGTAAGTGGTGCCACAGATGATTATGATCTGCTGATCCAAGGTTTTTTTCTTTTTAACATTTAGGAATTTGAACATCTTTTCAAAAGATTTGATTTTGTGTACACTGCCTTAGCAGTTGTTCAGAGCATCATGACCTGGTACTTCATGTAAACTATAGGACTGATGACAGGATCTTCTTCATTTTGATTAGAGACTTACTGTCCTTACAAAGGATACAACACTGAATGTATAATGAGACTGGGCCTTAGTTACCAACCTTGCTGGATGATGTCATGATGGTGATTGTAATACTACTGATGCCTTGGCATGAAGAGTATATGAATGCACTGTTGAAGCATAATCTTTTCCTTCAGGCAAAAGCCTAGTAGCTATAATGA